GACCTACTTTTTTCAACGATACGTCAAATGATTACAATTCGTATTTAGTTTAAGTTATTACTCTTAAAAATCGAAAAAATATTCCTTATTCAAATAAAAAGTTGCTTAACCAGCTTTTTCCATACAAACAATTAAAATCATTAATTTCTAATTTTCATAAAGTATTTATTGTCGAATTAGATGCGATATGATAAAAGTATTCAGCTACAAAAGTAAATAATTTTACTTTGTAATTTATTAATTTTTTAACTTTATTTGTGAGTGCTACTACAAGTCTCTAATATTCCAAATTTTTTTGTAACATGTTGCTATAAAAATCATAAATTTAAAAAAAAAAATAATTTTTAGTTTCACCTGAATTTAACGATGGATTTTAACAATTATAATCAAATTTTATAGTACGCTCAATTGAGTAAATCTTTTTAGCTACTTTTTTTTTATTGGTATTTTTAGATATATAATCATTAAAATTAATTAAATTCTAAATATTTCCATTGTAGAATCTTTTTAAACGCCAAAAATTAATTAGAAATGATTACTATGATTTTTATTTAAGTGATCTATTACGATAAAAATGTAAAAAAATCTAACTTTTCTGATAAATGTACTGTAAATAGTAATTATAAAATTCCCTAATTACATATTAATCTTAACACTATCTTTTTTTTCTATTTAATTATGTTGCAAGAGGGCTTTTTATATATTTAATAATAATTCGGCCTGTAACAACAACGTGGTTTGCCACTTGCATAACGACTAGCTCTAGTAGCAAGGGTCGCCACCACCTAGGCGAGGTGTCACATCTATCAGATATGATTACCGGACCATAGGTGGAATTTAATTTTAAGTTAATTAAAAGTATAATCTAAGTTAATATGTCGTTATATGTATCAATTACTATAATACCTCATGGATTATTTAACACAATTATGACAATTAAAGTTGTATGTGGTTGATATGTAAAACATACCGTAGCCCGTGTCTAGATTAAGGAATAGGGATAAATAAACGCGAGTAATTAAGTTATTCGCGCAATAAAATAAATATTACAGTTGAAATTAATAAGGAAATTTAATTTAATTGTTAAAAAAATAAAATTAAGTTAAACATGGACAAAAATGCGAATGCATCCAAAAACCATGTCTACAAATAAAGGCAATACAAATAAAATAAAATATTTAAACAAATAATATTACAAACATCACTGACGGTATTAGAACACATCCGTTAATGTTAACCGGAAATTAATGAAGAACACCAGGAGCGGTCTGGACACTCGCTCCTTAGCGTTGGCTAGAAGAAAAGGGAAACACGTGCTCTCCACACATAAACAAAATTAAGTTAATTTACAATAAAATAAAATAATTAATAAAATATAGCTCATTACATAAATATAATATAAAAAATGCTTCGTCGAAAAGACCTGGCCGTTCGCCGTTAGCGGCTCACTCCATCATTGAAAAAAAAATGTCAATAAAACAACAAATGTGTGTACCCTAGCACGGTCAATGACAGAAGAAAGAATAGAGAAGAGTCAACACCGATCTAACGGCAATTTCAAATCGATAACGGCCAGTCTTTTGGAAGGGATCAATACTGATAAACAATTCGATTTTAATTATATTTCTCTTTTATCGCCTTATCTAGCGGTCAGAGGCAAAATAATGAGTGGTTGACACCGCTGTGTCAGAAAAAGGTTCTTTCGCGCGATAAAATAAATAAGTAGACATAACAAAAAATCATAAACGGTACACCTTCGAATTTGTGACGTTACAATGTCAATTTCAAACTTGCAAGTTGAGCTAAATAATATAGTAATATATTCATTTTTTTTTTTTTATTAAAACTTTCACTTTAAAGGACAATTAAAAATAGGTTTAAAATGATTACTTTTAACATATTAAAAATCAAAATCAATAATAATTTGAAAACAATTAATTTTAAAAATTATATAATATATAATTAAAAGAATTACTAATCTGGGTATAATTAAGGAAATAGAAGTTGATGTTGCTTTTGTAATTATCTATCAATTTAGAATTAAGCACAATCTACAGATTTGCATCGAAGCGTTTCTTATTAGATTAAATCTATACTGGACCCAACTATGCAATGTCTCTACTATGCCTCGACTCTACTGTGCTGGGATTTTTTTTTTTTTAATAATAGCTTCTGATTTTATAAAGATATTTGTTTGCAATAAAAATGAAATATATAAATATAAAGACAGCTAGATGATGGTAACTGGCTTTAGCTTTTATAATTAAGGTAAATAAGGAATATTGAAAAAATGTAATGTGCTTTTAAAAAAGAGATTTATTTAAATCAATAATTATTAATTTGTTGACAATATCCTTTATTATTAAGAATATTACTTAAATTGTTAATTTATTAAAATTTTCGTAATAATAATAACTCTTTATTTACTAGGGTGATTGTATTTATATATAGTAAACATTCATTACAGTTAGTTTTTCGTTACAAATTTTTTTGATTATTATAACAAAAACAGGGGTTTCTACTTTATAAACATATTGTTATTGTTATTATTAAATATGAAATCCAAAGGGAAAAAGTGCGGATGTTTTCTCGCAATATGGCATTTTTTAAAAGGAAAAAAAAATAAAAAAGATAAGATAAGTATACCGAACTTAGAGGAAACACAAAAATCAGAACAATTTTCGGAGCTTAAGCACCACGAAGGAAAAAAATTAGATATTGTCTCTACGGTATAATAATAAAATAAAAGTAAAATGTGAATTACACCTAGCAAATTTTCTAGGATGGAATATTCGATAAACAATTAATTAACCCATCTCAACCTATACAAATATTCCGCCCAGCAGAGGAAGATGTAATTAAAAATACTAAGGAAAATGGTTTGTATTTTTTTTTAACTGAGTTTGATAGTCCTGACATTTATATATTATAAAACAATATGTATTATACCGTAAATAAAAGGACTACTTACTTTTGAAAATAGATAAAAATGTACCTATTTAGATACAAGTGCTTCCAATATTACAAGTACAAAATATATAAATGTATGAGCTACGAGTTTTGCTTTAATGTTTTTGCATTGAAAACAATTTTATTGACAACATAATACAGTTGATTTTCGACTATTTTTTTATTAGGAAAGACTTTAAATTTTAATTACAAGTATTTCAAAGTTCTCAATTCTCCAGCTTAATAATAGTAAATATTGCAGCCAATGTTGAATATTTTCAAAATTATCTTTTATTTTTTAGTATTTAAATAATTGTCGTCTTTTGTAAAAACATATGTCGGTCATTTTAAAATACAAACGAGTATATCTTATTTCATTATGATTTTATGAGTCTGCTAATTTTTTACCAATATAAAAAATATGTTTTTAAGAATTATTTATTTACTTGATACTCTTCGCACTTATTATATTACCTTTAAAGAGCGCGAAGAATCGAGTGACGGTTATGCATGTTAAAATTTATTAATATCACACAATTAATTTATTTTAACCAGCAGTATTAACATATCAATCCTTGGTAAGTAGTATAATATTTAATTTAAACTTTTTTATTTTTAACCATTAATCTTATGTTTTTAAAAGGCGATGCCACATCTCAACGATTGATAAAACTCGAANCCACATCTAAACGATTGATAAAACTCGAAGGTAAACCATTATTTGACGTTTTTCTTAGTTGGGCAATGTGTAATAAATTTATATCAATATTTAATTTTATGTTTAGAAATAGTTCGTAGTTTAACATTAGAAGTGGATCAATTAAATAGAGTTTCTTGTTATCCTGGAAAAAAAGACACAAAAAAATCTAAAGGAAAAAGTAATTCCTTAAAAGTATTTTAGTATTGATAATATTTAAATAAATTTTTTTAATAAACATACAATATTTGTACATATAATAATTTGTCTGTGTTTAGAAGGTCATAAAATATTTGATTTAAATACGCAAAGAGTGATGAAACTTGAAGGTAAAACATTGTTTTATGTGATCATTAGTTATGTTGATATTATCTTAATTTATATTAAAATGTCACTTTATAGATGATTTTCAGTTTTTAAAATCTGAATTAATCGAGCTGAAGAAATCATTTAATAATTTTGTACAAAAGAATGAAACAAAAGGTAAATAGTAACTACAATTGTAAAAATTAATTAATTTATATTGTTTTAGCTTTAAAAACATTGATAAAAAACTGAAGGTACTTTTTATTTACATTTTAAAATGTATTCATAATTGATATTTTTTATAACTAGAATAAAATATTAAAAAGGGAAAATCTTTATGTACCTGATTATTTACATTTTGTCTTTTATGACTATATATTAACACATATGTAAATATATATATATATATATATATTATAATTACTTTTCATTCTTCTTCTTCGATATTAACGTCCACGAGGACCATTCTGTCAAACAATCAATCTTCCAAGTCTCTCTATCAGCTGCTTTTATTTTCCAATCCGAGCATCGATTTAACGATTCTACTTCTCTCTTAACCACGTCTTCCCATTTTAAACGGGGTCATCCAAGAGGCCATTTTGCTTCTGGGTTCTCTGTCAATACCATGTGCAGTAGTGGATTCTGACTACGCCAGGCGTGACCAGCCCACTGTAACCTTCTACTCTGAATTATATATAATATGTTTGGATGATGAAAGAGTTCCTCTAATTCTTTGTCTTTTCTTATTCATCCGTCAGTTTCCTCGTTTTTTACTAAACTAAAGATCTTTCTTAGAATTTTCCTCTCCAGAATAATCAATTTATTGTTTTCCGTTTTTCTTAATCTCCATGTTTCTGCCCCGTATATAATTATTGGGTGTAATAGTGTAATCTAAAATTTTATCTTTATTTCTTTCGACAGGGACCGTGACCCTAGTATCTTTGTGAGTTCTTAAAGACATTTGTTTCTCGACAGGATTCTTGTTGCTACTTCTTTATCAGTTTCATTTTTTTCGGTCAATATTAGTAATTGTTTGACTCGATTGAATTCATGATTGCCCACTCTTAAGGAAGGATATATTCTTGTCTCCCCATCAGCATGTATTCAGTTTTGCTTTCGTTTATTTGTAAGCCAACCTTTTTCGCTGCCTCCTCCAAACAATCGAATAGTGTTCTTAGGCTATCGTGTTATTTATCCACGAGGACCAAATCGTCTACATATGCCATTAATACCATGGAAGACTCTCGTAGTGACATCCCCTCCTGAGGTCCTATATTAGTTTCCCTTATAACTTTTTCTAATACTAAATTAAACAGAACAGGTGACATAGAGTGCCCTTGTCTTAGATCTGATTTCACTATTTTGGGTCGGTTTCAGCTTCTCCTACTCTTATTTTAATGAATGTTTCCATAATGCCTGTTTCGACTAGCTTTACTAATTTTTGTGGGAAGTTATTTATTAAATAACTTTATATATAAAGAATATTTATTAAACTTTTGCGATGGATATTGTCGTATGCCTTCTTGAAGATGATAAAGAGTACATGCATTTCTTTGTCAGTTACACCGTAATCTTCCTGGTCTAAAGCCTAATTACATTTCATTACATACTGAAAGTTTATTACACAAAAAATTTAAGAATTAGAAAAAAAAAGCATTCATTAAATACTAATAATTAAGAAGATAATAATTAGCATAACTTTAATTATTAAAACTATGACATTATTTTGACTAATAATTAGTCAACTATATTAATTATTAATATAGTTGACTATATAATTTAAGTCAGCAAAAATTTGAAAGTTTCTTATATAAAATTATTTTTAGATAAAATTTTTGTGACTAACTTTGTGAATAAATTGTAACTAAATTAAAGATAAAATTTTAATTGATTCCTAACAATTATTGATAAATTTTTTAATTAAAACATCAAGCTTATTTATCAATTATGATGTCTGATTTATACATAATCAATTTTTATTAGTCCATAATAAATACTATGCGTAATTTATTTAGTTTAATATAATCTAGATATTATTTAAGAGAAAAATTGTTACAGTAATTATTCCACCACCGCCGCCGCTGCCACCACCACCTTTTTCATTCATACCTCGGCCACCACCAATGCCTTCTTCATTAAATTTTATGCATAAAGGGGATGGTGATGATGTAAGGTTACAAAAAGATGCTCAGATCAAAAGTAAAAAAATATTAAAGGTAAATGTTTTATCTACTAATTATTGAATTCTCTAAACAAATCACTGCTAAAGTTTTTAATCCAATATGAAGCATCAATTTTTTAAATACACTCTTTGTCTTAGTTTTAATACATGAAGAGAGTTTGTAAATAATTATCTAATAACTGATTTTGAAGAAATGAACCTGTTAATTTCAATGATATCATAATATAAATTGTATCATATTTCCCAATAAATTAGCTCATTTTTTTATTTCATGTAGCCAGGAAATATGCAAAATGACAATTTAATAAAAGAATTAAAAAAAGGTGTAGTATTAAAAAAGGTATTTATTTTCATAAATATTTAGTTACCCCATAAATTTCTTATTTTTTTTTTATTTGAAGGTTAAACGTATAGAAATAACTAAGCCTCCAGAGGATGACAGTGAACTTTCTAAAATATTTTCTTTAAGACGGATTAAGGATACCGGCCAGTTATAATTAATCCCTCGCTTTGCTCAAAGAACTTCACAGTAACAGATCGGGTCAAGAATATCGGACATAGATGGCCCGGTCCCTGTCTCTTGTGTATTACATTAATTAGCTATAACTATATTTTGAGATGTTTTAGTATTTAAGATACAGATAATTAAAAAATAACAATTGTACTTATAATTCACTTGTGTAATTTCTATATATGTGTAATTTAAGCTTGATTTCATATTTATAAATGCCTAAATAAATGTATATTGATGCCTAAGTAAGTAAATTTTTAAACAATATATGACTTTTGCCATCCATCTTGCATAGTGATATGCTCTAGGTTGCTAGAACTGAATTCCATTTGGTGGTATACATCCTAAGATGATAATTACTAGCTCTAAAAACTCTTTATAGTCATCTCGACGTAAATTGTCTATGAATTTATTTTCTGCGTATGATAAAACCTCACAAACTACATCATACTGTATCATATTATCTGTTATACACGTAAATTAACTACTCTTATCTATATCATGCCTATTTAATTGAATTCTTTTAAAAAGGGACATACTTGGGCCAGACGTAACAGTTAATTTATTTTCAGAAAATACACCTTGAAGTTCTACTTCAAAAATATGACGACGACATGCTAATAGTAAAAGATTCCGGTTTAACTTTTGTTCTAACCAAACACAAGCTTCATTTAATCTGTCTGTATTGAAAGCTGTAGTATCAACAATCATTGCTAGGATTTTATCAAATAAAATCCATTCTTGTAATGTGTCCTATACTGTAAATAATACTTCCAACCCCGTAAAAGAAGTAAGTTCATGAACAACAAAAAGTTGGTCAATTTCAGGTGCTACAGCAACAATTGGTGGTAGTCGGTCAACATTTTCTAATTATATCAGGTAAAATTTTTGAATCCCAATAAATTACAACAAATTCATGATCGGCACATAAAAACTTAGACTTAATAGTGTCATAAGTATTTTAGTGTGATTTCTCGCAAGTTGATGATCGACTAAGGAAAAAAACATTTATGTTTGAATCGGTAGACATAAATGATTGTTTTAATTATAACAACTTCGAGACAAGCTGTTATAATATCCATTGCATCTCGGTCACTCACTTAACATTTATCTAATACTGCACAAAGTTGCAGAGTTAAAAAATTACCTTTCCATAATTTTTTACATTTTGAAGGACCTGTTATATTTTCTGAGTTGCTATATAAATAAGTAGGTATAGGATCTGGAAAATCAGTTTGTTTAATTTGATTTATTTCTTCAGAACTTGTTGATGAAAAAGCGTATTGACCTACTTAATAAAATTAAATATATATTTTAATACATCAGAATTATATAGTAATTACCAAATTCAAAAACTGCCATTTTTTTCTAATGGAGCCGATTGATTTTTTTCAATCATATGTGTTGGTAGATCAACAACCATCATACATCTAGGTCACCCTTTTTGCCGTTGTAACTGTTAAAAGTCTAGGTATTCTTTAATTTTTATCAGTTTTGCTGCATTTTTATGAGCTATATCAAACAAATTATCTAGATTTTCATTAAATTGATCATTCCTTTATTTGTTTAAAAAAATTAGTTTATTTTTATTCATTTCTAAACGTCTTCAGGGTTCATAAATCTTTTTCGATTTTATTATATAATGAGCTCGATTCCGTGTTGGAATCCTCGTTTTTTTACAAAAAATTGTACATTCATCTATCACCAATCCTGCACTTTCATGTAAACTGAGTTTTACTAACCTCGTATTGTAAAATAACACACTTGGGCAGTCTTTAATTGATGATAATTTACCCCCAGTTATTTGATTATTAATGGAATCGATTAAATAAATATTTCTTCGTAACATATTCTAATGCGACAAAAATTAAATAAAAACTAAAAATTAACAGAAATGTGTACAAATATATACGAATCAGCTTTCCGTTCAATGTCAAAAATAACGCAAATATATTATAACTCTTATAAAGATATGATCGATAATTAGTACTTAATAACAATAAATGTCTTTTATGATTCAATAAAAATAGCTTTTTTAAGTTGCGAGTCTCGTGGCATATTGTTTAGCGTGCCTCATTTTAAATATACTAATCTAACTATATTATATATTTGACTACACAAAAAATTAAAACCTTTTTTTTTTCTTTTACAAAATAATTAAGGCAATACCATAATTATCTTGAAGCGAAAAAATTATTAGATCTAATAAGAAGAGGTTTAGCCCCTCCCATTTTTATAGTCTCCAATTATAATCACTATTTATCTTCCTAGCATTTAAGTGTTTATTATTTTTTTATCTGGCATATGTACATGGTAAATAGTCATAATTCTATTAATTTTACACAATTATAAAAATTTAAAGATATTTTTGAATTATCACAGTAATGATAGGCTTTAGAAAAAATGTATTAGAACCTTTTTTGTTTGAAATTTAATACTAAATAGTATTTATTCTATACATTTTTACGCTAACTGTAATATTTGATTTGTACGAGGCAGCTAGTTCGTAGGACGGCTAGTTATGCAACACATAAAATACAAAAAAACTTACTTAAAACAATGAGCTGTACACAGATGACAACTGCACACGGAGGCCATCGATTTGCCGTGCTGGGTGGGTAAAGGGGTGAGTAAAGCAAGACGCTGGAGATCAGCTGCCACACTATATAATATAATCAACGATGTTTGAAACAACTGGTCTACTAGATCTTTGCTAAAGACGTTCTGTACCAAACAATATTTATTGAAACAAATGTGAAAAACTAATAAAAAACACTATTTGATCAAACTTTAACTCCAGTGCGGCATGGGAAGGGGTTCTTTGATCGAGTTCAAATTTTTACAGTATATGTTTTCTATATCAAGTAAAAAACCAGGGGGGTGAATGATCAAATACCTGAAGTCGTGTTTTTTTAACTACCCTAATGAATTCTTATGGTTTCTTATTTTTTGTTTTGTTCTTAAATTTTGTACATTTCTATGGCTTCTTTCAAATTATGCATTTCTATGGTATCTTAATTTTGTGCATTTTTATGGTATCTTAAATTTTGTGAATTTCTAAGATATTTTAATTTTGTACACTTCTATGGCATTACATTTTTAAATATAGTAAATCTGTTTAAGATTATCAAATACCAATTACAAAAAGTTTCTTAAAACTTAACATTCTCCTTAAAATCTCGAAATTCTAAAATTCAATATAAAAACTTTTTAATCTAAAACTAAATTCAGTTTTTATAATAAGCAATAAAGTTAAAATGAAATATACAATTTTTTAAAAATAATAAAATTTTGCACAAATGAAATTAAATTTTTCTTTACATAAGAAGAATTGTTACTAGCTACTCCAAAATTTATCTTATATATATAATTAATTTTACCATAATGGTATTAACCCCTAAGCCCCTAAACACCCTGTGATATCATGATTACAATATTTCGGTAATTTCTAAACTCATTTTAATAATTTTAACGACACCATACTACATCCGGTTTTGGTCATTGGCAGACATATTGAGGTTGTTGCAGAACACATTTACTTAAAATATTTTCAAAATAAATTCTATTTAATTAAAATAGTATTCATGAAGTAGGTAATCACTAATTATAACACATTTAATCGAAATCACATGTACGTTTTACAAATTAATTAAGATTCAGTCTTTTTTAAAAAATTTTTTACAGCCATTATGAAAAATAAAACTCCTATTATTGTATGTAATGACGCAATAGTTAATATCTAAAATTATATAAAACACACGTTTTATTAATAATTCAAGTATTGATAATTAAGATTAGTGACATAAATACCTGGTTTCTTGTGCCGACCACGAATATTACACCTTGAATAAAGATTAAAGTAAATATTGAAATAATTAACAGCGACATAAAAAGATTAAATCCGAAAATTAATCCATAACTATCGGGTTTTATACATTTAGCAACTTCAGCCCTGAAAAAGTCAGAAAACTTTTTACTCATTTAATGTTGTTAATTGTTTTTGAATAATCTGTTAATAACTGATTTAAAAATAAATTTTTTTTACTCAAACTTTTATATACAATCATTATGATAGTTTTATAAGATTATATATTCTAAAATTATTACTTAAAACTTATGTTGTCTTCTTCTTCTTCCTCGCCTTAATCCCAACTACTTAGGGTCGGCCACCCTTATCCTAAACTTTCACTTGACATGATCTCCCACATCATCTACGCTCACATCAGCTGTCCTCATACCGCATTCAATAGCATCCCTCCATCTCTTTTTTGGTCTTCCTCTACCTCTTCTTCCTTCAACATTAATTTCTATAATTGTTCATACAGCTTCCAATTTTTCTCTCCTCATCATCATTTTCCTTATCCTATCTTCTCTAGTCACTCCACTCATCCAACTAAGCATTCTCAACTCTACTACACTTATTCTCTGCTCTATTTTCTTATCAACCACCTCTGAACCATACATCATTGCTGGTTTTATGACAATCTTGTAGAGTTTACCTTTCAGCCTCATTGGAATTCTTTTGTCGCATAAGACATCAGACGCTTCTCTCAACATCACCCACCTGCGACTAATCCTGTATCTTACATACTCGTCAATATCATCGTTATTTTGCACAGCTGATCCGAAATACTTAAAAATAAAAATATTATTAATTTAAAAAACTAAAAAATATTAAACTCAAAGCCACAAAAAAATTAATGAAAAGTCGCGGATACGTATTTCGGAAACAATGTTACCATTATCAACGCTAAACACATACTGCTAACACATAATGTTAAGGTATTGATAAATTTGAAAATAGGATAATTTACTCAAATATTTTTTTTAGTTGCAATGAAAAGGTTTTTTCTTGGTTAAATACATTTATGAAGAACTGTAAATTTAATCAAAAAAGAATAAAATATTAATTGTATTCTAATTAGAAGTGGGTAAATAGCAAACTACAGTAGTTTGCTAGTTTTGCAAAAATGTTCAAAAGTATAAAAAAAAATCATGGCGTAAATAAAACTTTAAAGAAATCTAATTTCAAAAACACAATTTTTTGAAATATAAATTTAAAAATCATTTTCAGATTTTATTTAAATAACTTTTTTCAAACTTCAAACAATATACAGGGTGATTTTTTTATCATAACCCACTCAATTATTTACAGAATAACAATAATTTAAAATTTTTTTTTTATTATTATCGTTAGTTACACATTATTCTTGAATTATTAACTATGTAATACTTTTTAAGTTCATCTCTTATGTCTTGTAAGGGTGTCAACTTTGTTATTTTAAATGGGAGGGAATACATATTTTTAATTTAATAAAATGTTTGAGTTTTTAAATCATTAATAAATAGCATTTGATTTTTAATAAAACTTAATTTGTTTATTAGATATAAACATTTAAAGTTTCAAATTTTGTGATTTTTTTATGTATTATTAAAAGAAATTAAAAATTAAAAGAATAAAAAAGTATATATTTTGTACAGTTTATTAATCATATCATTAAACATCAATAGGATAAAATGAATTTATTACATACAAAATATTATAACTGTTAATTATTTAATTTTTATCATCCTTTTTGATATATTCATGAAACATAACATCACCATTCATAAGACCATCTTCTACTTTAATTAACTACAAATAAAACATAATTTTCATTACATTTTAACAAACATAATTGTCACTAAACCTACTTGAAGGGTAAGTCGTGGACCTAGTTCACTTAATCGTATAGATGATTGAGTACCAACAATATTACCTCGACTTACTAGTTTTTGAGGTATAACAACAGTACTTAATTTGTTATCTTCAACCTCACTTTCAGACAGTAATTCTGGCCTAAAACATATATATATATAAATATATTTGATATAAACATAAAACTGTCATACTCAAATATCAAATATTATTTATATTTTACTTAAGTAAATATTCATCAATATCATTGTAATTAGATAAATTTGGTACTTTGCTCTGGACTATTTTCTTAACACCTTTAGACAAACCAACTGGAACAGTTTTAATTGCATAATGTCGAAACTCTATTAGTTTTGTATCAGGATTATAGTTCATTAACACACATCTTCTTATATCATTTAAATTTACCTATTTATAATAAGATAATATAAATTTTAATATATAAACTATTATTAAATGGTAATGGAAAAGTTCTAACATACACAGAAATTTTAACACTTAATATTACTTCAATCACTTAAATCACTCACAATCACTTAATACACCTATTATTAGTTGGTTTCTTTTAGATAGTTGTTTTTATGAATCTATCAATCATAATGTATTTTTTATGATCAACCCTTATTAGGTATAAGGGTTTCAACTTTATTTTAATTGATAAATCAAAAAACATGTACCTTAAAGAAATCAATAAAATTAAAATATCATTATTTTTATTTTATCAAAAAATTTGATGTTACATTCAATTAAATGACCCTGTATTGTATAACAAATTTATACTTAAATTTAAATAGAAGCATAAAATACAATACAGGCTATCCTACAATGATTAAAATATATTTAAAATAACTTTAGAGGAATAAATTAAATATTTTTGACATTTACTTTTAACAAAATTAAAAAAAAGTCTAACTAGTTGAAAAAATTGACAAGGAAAGACCTTTTTTAAACTATAATAACTATATTATAATATTTATACTTCAAACAGCTATAAATAACAATTAGTTTGTTAAGTGATCTTGAATTTTATATCTTTTTTAGCAATACACTAAAATTAAGTTATCATAATTATCTTAATATTTTGAGCACATTTTAAAATGGGATGAATGCCAAAAGTTGTTAACAAAATACTATAAAAATGTTTAAGTTTTAAAGGCCAAAAAATATTTTTTTTATGTGTAATTTAACTGTGGTAATTCAACTTAAATTGTGGAAACCAAAACATATNTCCTACCACTGTGGTAGTTCAACTTAAATTGTGGAAACCAAAACATATTACTATGTTAAAAGTGAAATACATATACTACACAGTTGACATTGCACACTCNTTTTATGTGTAATTTAACTGTGGTAATTCAACTTAAATTGTGGAAACCAAAACATATTACTATGTTAAAAGTGAAATACATATACTACACAGTTGACATTGCACACTCACAATATTAAAAGCCAAGATTTATTAAAAGAACAATTATTATTTATACAACAATATAACATTTATTTTTCCTTACAAAATTTTAAGAAAATTGTAAAATTTGCTTGGATGTGCTTATTAGCCAAGGCATACCCCCTATTTGCGCTTTTGTAGCTGGTTTTGGTCTTATATCTATAATTTACCCAGACCCTTGCAAATCATAGCATCAATCTAGATTACAATTAAATTTTAGGATAAAATTTACAACTCTCTCAAATTTTGTTATTTAAATTTAAAAAGAAATAATTACTTTTGTAATATTTATAGTTGGAAACATATTTTGAAACATAGTAGACATAAGATTTATATGAAGTCCTTCACCAGTGAAATTATTCATAACTATCAATGGAGCATTGCTAAATAACTTAGGATTCACCATTTGTTTATGCAATGAAGATACAACATCTTTACTAAGAACATAATTATGTAACTTAAAAGTCATAGTTGGTCCTTGAGGAAGTCTTGCCACTCGAAAATTGATACCAGTATCAGAACTAGTAAAAACAACCAAATGTGATACATGAAGAGGACCCGCAAGAGAAACAAAATCTTTTATGGTGTTTTTTTTGTAAACCTAAAAAAAAATAATTTTTAATAATTTCATTGGCTGTGAAAATTAGTAAAACTACTGATTCATTTAAACTATGACCTGCAATGAAGATGCAGTAAAAGGTTCCATAACTTTCCTGAAATCTTTTACTAATTGTAGTAAACTTTTACCAATTTGACCTCGGTGAATTACAAATGAATGAGGTGCTCTCTTTAGATCTTCTGGTTCCTCATATACTTTCTTTTTAAATTTCTTTAGTCTTTTCTACAGATAATAATACAATTTATTACATAACAAAATTAATAGGTTATGGTCATAATTCTATTACGCATTTTTGTTCTACTGAAAAAAAGATTGTGTTATTTGTAATAATCATTCTTTTATCCCTGAAAATAGGGGATAAGAGTAATTCAACAGCTCCTCTGCCAGTTGTAAGTAGCACATATGAGGTTGCGTCACATCAACAGGTATAAAATGTTGTCGAAAAGTATAAAAAATCTTGAACAGAACTTAGGCGGATTATCCCATCTCGGATGTATGCAAAGACAACAGGTGAGAGAAACTAAAGTAGTTAGAGAAGGAGAATGCTTTGAGATTAAAGTCTTTAATACTACCCAGTCAACTTGTATGGTAGCTATTTTACCAATTATGTATAAGAACCTACTCGACACATGTAGTATCAACGGTCCACAGACTTGCATAAGAGAAAAACGGTCATAAGATATTCACAATGTAAGATGTATAAAAAGTGATGATAAGTAGGTGCTAACAAATGATGATATGAAAAAAGGTAGAGAATATTTTGAAAAATTTTAAATTGTTAAAGTAATTAATATCATAAGGCGACCATTTAAAAATAAATGAATATCTATTATTGGAATATTTTTTTACTATGGCAAAATAAAATTTATAAGCTAATATCATTAAATATTTAAAAAACTATTTCCAATCACTAATCATGATTATGAATTGATTCAGATATGGTACTCAACATAAGCAAAAATAAGAATTCACAAATATTGCAGCATCTTCAGTTAAACTTCTAGCAATCCGGAATTATGAATGTGTACAAGAATAAAATCTCAAATAATTAAAAATATATAATTTTCAACAAATTATACATAACATCACAAGAACATAACTATTTTAACAAAATCACAATAGCTACAAAGTAGTAAAATATTAAAATAGTACAAGAAAACAACTGGTTTTCTAGACATTACTACCAAAAATGTAAAAATCAAAACAGATTTAAAAAATATTTTACAAGCCGTTTTAAATGATCAATTTTTTGTTTGTAAAGAAAATATGAAATTATTACTTACATTCTTTTTTACAGTAGATTTTCGTTTGGACCCCATATTTTTTTCAAATGTTAATGTTGTTTTATAATTTGATAGATTTTTTTATAATTCAAAAGAATTTAACTATTATACTATAAACATTTAAAAGATCAAACTATCAATAAGTAATTAGTATTTTAAACTTCTAAAATTTGTCAAAGACACAACTGCAAATAAAAAACGTTATCAGAAATATTAAAAGATGTTTAAAATAATTGCTTATTTAAAAAACTAGACAACGACATAATAATTTATTTCAATACTAACTTATCAAATAATGAAATCAAACTCACGTGTTGTAAATTAAAGACTACAATCTAGCTTGAGAGGATTCCACATACATCTACCTTGGTATAAGCAATGAATAAGATGAAATTTTTTGTCATATAGTGGTTTGTGGTCTATACCAAAGATAATATAAACCAGTAGATGCCCTTTCTATTCAAACTTGTTTTCCAAGCTGTGTTATATTATTACAGAGTAGCCAATTAAGTGAACTTAATTTACTTTATCACAGATCGTACTTCTTTTAATCTATCAAAATTTATCACGTGATATCATTGAGATAAATAATTGTAATATCAAGTTAGAATACCAGCTTTTACTGAATTAAGTGAAATTTTACTAAATTTAACATTAACTTTTTTAATTTTAATTAATATTCAAGATTTGTTTTTAAATTTTAAATATTCAATTTTAATTTAATGTCTTCACTGTTAAATAACGTAAAAATATGGGCATGTTCTTTGTAAGATGAAATTTCAAAACAACAAAATCTATTGTTTAATTTATAAATTCGTCATTCAACATTTTTAGTTGGTTATCAATTTAAAAATATTTAAGTAACATTCATTTTTTTTATTCTTCTGGATTACTTGTGCGTTTTTGTTATATGAAGATGGAAAAGTCAAATGAGAACAAGATATCTAGTTAGTTTAATAGTATTTTGACTAATTTAGTCGTAAGTTTTTTAAATCAAGCTATTTTATGTAAAACAAAATTCTGAAATATTTACCAAAAAAATTGAAAATTTACCATCACATTTGCTAAGTTAATCCTATGACTAATTTTTACATAATCTAAAAATATATATGATAAAAATAGTTTGGTCAATAACTAAAATTCTCCTAAATTTTTTACCTATAGACTATATTTTAATGACTATATTGTGGTTCTTTAGAAAATTTTAAAGTAGATCAATTGCTCTCAAAATTACCACCACCTACACCATTGCCAAGTTATGTTATTGATGCACTAAATGGTATATATTTAAAATTTTTACAATATTAACATTGCTAATGATAAAATTTATTTTTAGAAGGAACACCTGAATTAAACACATCTATTCTACAGTTAAATAACATGAATAATCAAAATTTCCATACTCCAACTTTTTCGTGAGTGTTTTTTACAAGCTATTTATATTATAGATTGAACTTACAGTTCAAATCTAAGCTTATCACTTTAAGATTTTAATCAATACAGTGTTCCAATGGTTGGAAATTAATTTTTAAGACATGTCAAGTGGTTTCTGAAAAAATTTGTGAGCCAAAAAAAAAAAATTATAGTCAGTGTAGTACATCATAAATATGTACTTAATTTTGTATTGTGTTTTTACTACTTTCTATTCACTGAGATATACATAATATTGATATATGAATACTTATTATTTTATAATCTGTACAAATATACAATGTCAAATTCTAAAATCCAATTCTTAAAATCTGGATATTAATTCTGAATTTCAGAAATATTGATTATGCTATTTCTCTATATATTTAAGGTTGCTAATTTCAAAATTACTTAAACTTAAATGTACAAAGTATTTTATTATTTATACTCTATTAAATGCATTAAATATTTTTTACCTGTGTTAATAACTTTATTCTCCAAATGCATAAATAAATTTAAATATCTTTATATCCTAGTTTGACCACAAAGAATTGTTAAATTAAAAAATCACATCCACTAATTACTGTCATGGTGGATTATTCTAAAATGCATGTTAAAATTAACTTTTAAAGTGGCAAAAATATTTGTATATATCAAATTTATAAGTATGAAATGAAAATCAAACAAATATCGAATATATTTATTAATTTACTCTGCTATATTCTGGGGTAGCCATAATAAATTTATTATAACTATATTTATAAAAGTTATCATTTCATTGTAAATAAAAGTATAGTTTTTTCATCATATATTAAACTAAATTTTTTTTTTATAGTGTAAACAGTATATATTTTTAATATATAAAATAATAAATATTAGTGTTTTGATTGTGTTTCAAAAATGTATGAAAAGATACACTAAAAATAGCTCCTAATAAAATTTTAATTTATTTTTTCATATAAACCACTTTGCACAGCAAATTGTCAATTTGTGATCTTAAAACTCTATAATTAGTCTTAGTTTCTTAAACATATAAAAGCAAAAAAAATTATTTTTGAAAATTGAGGTTCATATTAGTTAATTTTGATTTTAGACCATTATGCACTATTTCCTTCCTCTTTCTTTTATCGCGCTTTACTCCCAACTACTTGGGTTCGGCCAACCTTTTCCTAAATATCCACTTGTAACAATCATCTATGCTCATATCAGCCATCCTCATATCGCATTCAATTACATCCCTCCATCTCGTTTGATCTTCTTCTACTTCTTCCTACAAAAAAATTTCGGACTTTATTTTGTCTTCATGGTGAAAATGGCTACCGAATGCTATTTTTGTGTTAAAATTCTCGATTTTATATTTTACATTTTTAACTTTAAAATGTTATAACTCTTTGAAAAGTGTATAGATCAACACAATTTTTTTATGATAAATAATATTTATATCCCTTTTTCATTCGACATACCTCATCTTAATCAGGATATAAATAAGAAAATAGCAGATCATGTAGCTTTTGGAAAAATCCACCAATATTTTAAAATTAAACACTATCTAAAGATTTACATCGAAGCGTTTATTTTTGATAGTGATTTTAATCACTGTCAGATATCATTATACTTGATCCAACTATGCACGTCACCACTATGCCGCAAACCCCCTGTACTGGGTTTTTTTTTTCTAATTTTTACTATGCATAGTTAAAACTAAGTAAATTAATTTAGTAATCTAAATTATAACTTATATTATATAGTATTGAAATTTTTTAAACTATTTGAATAAAATATTGTTGATCTTAGGCCAGCAATTTCTAATAGAACTGAGACTTCTGATATTACGGGTGATGTAACAAGAAAAGTTGAAGAATTTAAAGATGACCAAGGGACTAATGGAAAAACTGATCTTTTCAATTGGATGAGAGGAAGTGGTTCGAGTATATTTTCTATGGTAGCTGAAAAAGCTAAAAATTCTGTTGATGCAGTTCTTACTACATTAGATCCACAAATGAAAGATGCTTCAAACGGTTAGTAAAAAAAAAAAATTAAATGGACAGCAGATACAATATTTATGTTATTTTAGGCATAAGCATGTGTTTATTAGTGGTAATACTAATTGAAATGCCCCTGTGAATATTTTCATTTATTGGTGTGCAAGTACAGTGATTGCATGTATAGGAAATATTAGTTGGAGATTTCTAGTTTTATTGGTATTTAATGTAACACCAATTAAAATATGCTTGTGTATATTTGGTACTACATAAATTTTGTCAATGAAAAAAAAAAACAAATCTTACTCTTATATATATTATATTACCATATGCAAATATAAATATCATACCCTTTAATCTCTTTCGAATAATTAAAAAAAAAAAATTAAACATTTTCAAGTTGTGAGGTTCTGATCTAGGGGTTTGATATTATGTTTAGACACATTATTAAACAATAATTCTGTCTTAAAATGTATTGTTATAAGTCTATTAACTGGAAAATGTTTTAACTTTCATAGTTGTATTCCCAACGATGAGATTTAATTACTTGAATTTTTATTATTTTCCTAGTATTTTGAAATAATGTAATAATCATTTAATAATTAAAAAATGACAATTACTATATTTAAATTCAGAAATAATAATTTCAATTATTGCTCCTTATACAACTTATAAAAAAATTTGATAGAAATAAATTGAGTTTAAAAATGTGAATAAAAGTTTAAAATATTTATTGTATAAGATAGTATTTCTATTTTATGTAGAGCTACTGCCAGTAGGATATAATGTATTGACACTTCTATAAATAGTTAAAAATCTATTATAGTTAAGCAAGTTATAAACCATTCATCATTGAATTTTGGTAAGGTAAATTATCCAAATTAGCATTAAAACTATTGTTTTAATAATAATAATAATAAGGTCATTTTGTAATTTTACTGGATAATCAATATGAAAAAAAATACATTGAAAATATAAAGAAAATAATTAATTTTCGAGATCAAATAAAATACAACAAATAACTTTTTCAATTTCGTATAGTTTACCATATTTTTAACAAATAGATTCGAAACTATGTTTTCATTTCATTAATATATAATACTTGAGGCCATAAGAAAATCTAAATAAAATATATAGTACCTATATCACTTTTTGTTTTTAAACATCTCAAAAGTAATTGTTAAAAAAGAACAATTTAGTACATAGGAAACCATTTTAATTACACAAATTTATCTTAAACAAACTAAGAAAATAAAATTTTTTTTTTAATTACATAATAAAAATTGCAAAAAATAATTTATCAATACAAATTTAAGTCAACTAAGAAAATATAATTAATTTTTTTGATTATTTAATATGTTTAGAATTGTTCTTGATGATATTACATAGTTATTATCGCCAAGTTTGGAATGTATGGTACATCTATAAGTATTATTGTTTAGTTTACGCATATTATTTTTATGTGCATTTGATAACTTGAAATCTATATAAAAATAAATTGTTAGTTTATAAACGAATAAATTAATACTCTCATAGATACCTAATATGGTATATTTAACTGCCAAAGGTGGATGTTTTATAAAACACATCTCCAATCTACGTAATTCACAAGCTTTCACAGTAAATGATTCTCCCCAATCAAGTAAATTAATTACATACATCTGTTCCCCATTCTCATTATCTTCAACAGAAATACAAATTGCTCTATACCATCTGCCAACTCCTTAAATTAAAGTAATAAAAATATTACAAGGAAAATAATGATAATTTTAATTTATGTTTTAATATGTAATGTTTTTATAATAAAGACATCGTTTGATTATTCAGAGTTATGAAGCACTTGCATGAAAAATAAAAGATATTAAATAATTATTAATATTAACTTATATTATAAATTGTTTAATTAAATAAATATTATAAAGCCATAAAACTCTTTGAATTGTACGTATCTTTATACTGTTTATATAAGTAAAATTATTGATTACCATATTTAGTTGCACAAAGATCATTTTTTCGTGGTTTATAATTGCAATTTTGAATATAAGTCTGTCTATAATATTTAGTCATTTTATTTTCTATAGACCTTATGATATGTTCATCTACAACTCTTGTCATGCAAAAATAATCTTTTCGAGAGTACAGTACTCTCATGTTATAATTATAACCATTTATCAATTTGAGTTGAGGCATATTTTCTAACATATATAATTTTGGTCTATCATCTACATGAGTTCCATGATGTCCATCCATAATACTATCTTGCTATAAATCAAAAAAATAGTGTTAATAAACATTATTTATAGTTACTCTATTTATTTTAAATGTCTTCTCTGAAAAACTATGCTTGTGTTAACAGTTAATAATAGTGTATAATCAAAATTTAAGTAGTTAGTATTAGTTAAATAGAAAAATATTGAATATATGTTTTCTAATTACCGAGTATAACTTTGTATCATCCAATACAGATTTTGACCAATCTAAAGTTGACACTATATCAACTAAAACATGAATTACAAAATAAATTTTTTTTCATATAATTTCTAATACATTTTTTAAAGAAATTTTATATAAAATTAAGTATTAATTCTTCACCTCCAGTCATTACTTAAAATTGTTAATAAATTTTAAAATAGTTGTTGTTTACTAGTAATTTTTTTAATTATATCATTATTCAATAAATAATCTGGTTATTTATGTGTATTACTATTTCAAAAAAAAATTTAACACCATTATAGGATACCACAAGAGTTGAACGAAATAAATAATTTATGATTAAAAAATTTAGTAAAATTTTTAGCTATAAGAGAGAGAAGAAAAATAATTATTAATATTATTTTATTTTTCTAATTCCTTTTGTTCTCTTATTAGTAGGCAAACTTATTTATTGATATTAATACATATTAATGGAGGAAACGTTCACCTCTAGGCCCTCCTACTATACCCGCCACTGCAAACTAGTAAATTTTTTTTTAAAACTAGGACAAGATAATGAATTAGATTCAAAAAGTATTCAATGTTTGTCTTATTTTCAAAGTAAACATACATTCTAAACATGATTCTATAGGCATCGAATGACATGAATGCAAATCATGTTCTCCAAATTCTTCTGCTAGTCTAATTTGTTTATTGGAATCTTGTTCAGACTATATTTCTCCAATTATGTTTTCTTTCATATCGTGTGTATCATTCTCCTCTTGAGAGAGATACGTTATTTTTAGATTACTTTGTTCTTCAACGGTATCATAATCTAAAAAAAATACTGTATATAATTAATCGTGTCTCAATTTTAAATTAAACATACCTTCTAAAGACAATTCTTTCAAAATGTCCAAATGAGGATCATTTGGAATAGACAAGATGGAACACTGTAAAGCATTGCTGTTCGTATAATTTTTGGATAATGAATTTGATTTATGAGATTCTGCCGTGGATTGTATTTTTGAAATTATATCTTCTGATAATAGAACAGTTTGTATTCCGCAATTTATCAAATCGAATTTATCTGTTTGCGTTTCAGATATATTAAACACAACATAATAGTTAGTCTGAGTAAATTTTTCAGAAAATAATATCGAGGTCTGAGATGTTGCGTTTTTAATCCCCTCAACTTGAGAAACTAAGTTATGTGATTGTGGTACACATTCTACTTGAACCATTACATCTTCTGTCAACGTAATAGTCTGTGATTCACAGTCTACTGATGTCACTGAATAAAATATAACGTTAATAAGAATTAAGTTAACTACAAAATAAATTTATCATAAATAGTAAAATCAAATTAATAATCGTTTGAAAGTACAAAAAATTACCCTTAATATTTTTTTTTATTCCAAATTTCTTCTTGACACATCTAATTATACGTGTTATAAATTTAGCCATTTTTGATTATTACTTTAAACACTAAGAATTATTACCCTATTCGATTTTTATTATAGGTCTGAATTCTAATTATGTTGAAAACTGATTTTAAAGGGAAAATCGTCGTTATTAATAAATGTATAAACGGTTACTATGACTAATTTTTTTTAAACCAAGCAGCAAGAATAGTCTAAATTTTATATTTTTATGTAATTTTTTGAAAATGGGATTATTTTGTTACGTATAAGAGGATTTAGAATATACACAAATTGCTATACAACCAAGCCAATATTTTGAATTACATTTTTTTTAAAAAGTTTAAAAAAAAATTTATATTGATATGTTCATTTTTGAAAAAGTTACGGCAGTTTTTAGTAAAATAAATTAAAAAAATTAGCGATTTTTTCGAACGAGGGAAATTTTTTCAATTTTTGTGATCTTTTGACGTATTGTTGAAAGATATCCGTTCGGTGAGAGCTGAGAAAAAGTGGTAACAGACACAAAAAAACACATCATAGTAAAAACCATTACCTCCTCAGCTTCGCATCGAAGCTAAAATATATAATAAATATTAGATCATAAAATTCACATTAACTCAATAGTTATATTTTATTTTTATACTTAAGTTAATTTAAACATTATAATGTTTTTTATCTATTTATTCTTTGTTTTATTTTATAGTCATTTTTAAATAAAACATGTTGGGTTAGTGCTGAAACTAGTAGTTACTATTTTAGATTTATAATATTCCTGGCACTTGAAAATTTTATTTTTAATGAAATTTAACTATGTACATTCTATTTATTATAATTTAGATATAATTCAACAAGTTTTCAAGATAATTTATTTTTTTAGCTTTAAATTTTGAAAATACCGATGTCATTATTGCTTCAGAAAAAGAAATTGTTGTTAGTGCTGTCCGAGAAGGATTTCAAAAAGTTTTTGGAAAATGTAATGTTAAGTATGTTATTTGGTATATAAATAAATTTTGTAAACATTATTATTAATTATTTAATTTTTTATTTATTATTTTAGGGGCTTGGAATCACCAAATCATCCATTTGCTACCCAGTTAGTTGGTTTTTCAGCTGCTACACAAGCTACTAGATATTGTATTGATGCTGTTAGACTACATGTTCCAAAAGGACCAATTGTAGCATATGAAAAATTTATTGTTGAGCCAACTGATTCTAAGTATGTTCAACATTAAAGTAATACATTCAATCTCTAATTAATACTGTTTATACTATTTTTGTTAATTTAACACCAAATAAAGGCAAGCCTTAGAGCAACCAAGAGACATGGTTGGGTTTGGTTGATAAATGACTATTTTTATTAAGTCAAATGGAAAAAAAATTTCTTATTCACTGATGTAATACATATTTTTATAAAAATAAACATTGTTAACAATTGATTCCTAGCATCAATTTTGCTAAAATTAGTTTTTCTAAAAAAAACATCCAACAATATTAGATTTGAATATCATTATTTTAAAAGCAATATAAATTTCACTTAAAGTTAAAATTATATTAAAAATATTAATTTAAAACTAAAGTATATTAAAAATATTTAACTCAAAAAGCCAGACATTTCAAATAAACTAGCTAGATTTTTTAAGATATTTGGTACTAGTTTTAGAATTTTAGTAATATCTAAAAGTATTAATTTATAAAAATTATTAGGTAATGCTAAGGATAAAGTAGAAGGGGGAAATCGGGCATTTATAAAATACAATGTGAAAGTTGTAATAAATGATACATGGAACAATCAAAAAGAAATATCGGTGACAGATTTAAAGAACACTTAAAAATCATGAAGATAATAAATCTCATGTGGCTGAACATTTATTGACACATAATCACTTCATTGAAACCATAAAACTAATTAAATACTTAAATAATTACAAAGAACTCAATATATGGGAAGCGATAGAGATGTTTAAAAATAAGAACTTAACTAGGATTAAGTAGAATCTTGGCCTGTTAAACAATTTATGATTAAACTTGTGTAAACTGTAATTTAGATAAGAGAATATAGGATAAGAAATGAGCATATAAGAGGAAGTATAAGTGTAGCATCAATCGTAGATAAGATGAGAGAAAATAGACTTAGATGGTTTGATCATGTTATGAGAAGAGAACACTTGGAAGCCGTAAGAACAGTTGTAGAAATGAATGTTAAAGGAAGACCAAAAATGTGATGGAGAGATGTTATTGAATGTGATATGAGGACAATTCATGTGAGGATGTGGGAGATCGTGTCAAGTGGAATTTTAGGATAAGGGTGGCCGACCCCAATTAGTTGGGATTAAGGCGAGGAAGAAGAAGAAGAAACTGTAATTGAAATAATATTACTTAGTGATAATGTCACTAAGGGTATATTGCTGGGTGTCAGTATGTGTTTAGTGTTGATAATGGTAACTTTGTCCTTTAAATACTTATCCAACATTTTTTAGTTATTTTTTTTTTTGTGGCTTTTTGAGTTAAATATATTTTACTTTTAAATTTTTAAATTAATATTTTAAGTATAAATTTAATTTTAGATTATATTAGCCACATGTGATCAATATTTAATATATAATACAAATACCAAATAGTTTTATGCTAACTTAATATCATAAGTGATCCCGTAGAAATGATATTTGTTCATTGTTTGTGGCATATTTATAGTAATAGTAAATAGTAAAATTTATAGTAAATATCACAAGCAGCATTATCTGTTTTGCTTGGGCAGTGCATTTTCTTAAATGTCCAAATTAATCAAGTTAATTTCAATGTTTTTTTGAAATTCATTGATTATAAAGTTTAATGTATGTTGCTTTTGTAAATTTTACTTTAAATTTTGACCTTGCTTTAGTAATTTTATTTAAAAAAGTAAATGTCAAGTCAGGTTATTGTTTGTATTAAAAAATAATGTGTATAATTACATTTAATAAAACTATGATTGTTAAAACTATAATAATAATTTCATACATTATATTTAGTACTTATTTTAATAGTATTGTTTTATTGTTGTTTATTCTCTACCATTTATTAATTTTTTGATTTATTGTGTCAGTAAAGACAAGTATAAAAAAATATTTTTATTAGCAATTCAATATGAATACTAAGTAGATTTTGTGACCTTACAATCTGGTGTCTTTAAATATTTCTCAATTGCATTATTTTTTCATGCTGTTTGTTCATAGTCTCAATGAATTAATGTATATTGCTATTCACACCTAAGAAACAAAAAATTTTCTTAAGTGTTTCATTATATTTTACTAGGTGGTATGAATTTGGTCTATTGAAACTTCACGACTTGGAAAAAAACATAGATTTAGAAATATATACTCAAAGTATACCTGTGCCTTCATCTGTTGTCAGGCTTATTAGTGATGATACTCCTAAAGATTATGAGCATTTATCAACTGGATTCAGTATTCCAGTTGCACACTTTATGGCTAGCAACTTAAAGGTATTACAAAAAAGTTTTTATTCAATTCTAATTATTATTTTGTTTCAAATTCATTTTTTCTTTTAGGTTCACCCATCTGAATGGCAAGAAGTCATGACCGGTATTAGTAATCGAACCTTATTGCTAAATGCATCTACTTCATTAGCAATGTGGTATAAAAATGCTTTGGAGTAAAACTATTATTACATGATTTATATTAAACTTTAATTTTACAATGTATAGGTATATTTTGTAATATACTAGTAATTATATTTATAATGGATAATATTTTTTGTTATAAAAATAGAAAATATAAAATATGATGGAAAAATTGTTAGATGTTTCACATAGATTTTTTTGTAGTAACTTTAGTTCAAAAAATTTCTGTATGAGAACTATAATAAATTAATATATTTTATTCATTCATTTTACCTTAATTTTTTACAATAACTCCAAGATGTTCCAACGTAACTTGATAAGTCCTACTTAATTCTGACCCTGTATATTTTGTGTTAATAATTTTTAATTATCACACTTTTCATTGAAATAAAATTTGCGATATTTATTTATCCTTTTTCAACCCATCTATGACAAGACGGGAAACCACCTTTGCACGAATTGATAATGCTTCAACATTACCCAAAGATGTCTTTTTTTATTTGTTTTTACTTAATATCACTAGAGTGTACCGAAACCAGGTATTTGTATTAATTACACTATTCGTAGCATATTTCATAATGTCAGTTTGTGGATGCCTGAGTATACTTGTCTTTTGTCTGAGAATTATCAGTTCGTGGCAATTCGCGTAACCCATTTAATGTCATTGTAGCATCAAAAGAGCAATATTCAGAAACATTTCCAAATGAAATGTTTCTTAATATTATATATTACAGGGCGTGTAGGAAGTTAGTCTGACGATGGAGAGAGAGATGGAAACTTAAATTTTTAAGGCAATCTCTTGTTTAGCAAATGAAGACATCTATTATAGTACTATGCGATTTAAATCAATTTTTTGATCTATTCTAATAAGGCGATTTCATCGTTAAATCGATTTGTTTTTAAATCGATATTATTTTAATGAAAGTTGAAAAAAATTAATTCTTCGACATTTTCTTAGATTTGTGATTTTCAAATTTTCATGGAACGTTCGACGATGCTTAAAAAAAAGGAGCAGTTTTCATTTGATCGATAACGATGATCATGTTCCCGCCATTTCGGCGTTATCACAGCTTTCGTTTTGTTTGTTGTGTTATTCTGTTCGTGATTATTAAACTATTTATTTAATTTGTTATTAAAAGAAATTTGTATTGTTAGTAAAAATATTTACTTAAAAATTATTAAAGTGTTTTATTATTACTCATACATCAAAGACTATACCTAAGTCAAGGAGTAACATCACTAATTTAACCATCTATAATAATCAATTTTATCATGCAAAAGTATATAAATTTATTTTATTTTAGATTTTTCCAGGGTTCAAAAGCACTCTTTATTTCATTATTTTATTAACTATCGCCATATTAATGTATTTATACTATAGAGTAATACTCTATGATTTATATTAAAAAAATATTTAAATGAACCGATATTTTCATTTTGATTTAAATTTAAATTTGACAGTCACAATGCACTTTCGACTTTACTGTTGGATGGCAACTGTGACACAGCTATCTCTCCTCGTCCAACAGGTCGCGTGACGCTGAGTGATCGCGGATGACAAGAACTGGTCCTTGCATTAACTTTTTCACAGAAACTACTACAGCACTTTTTCTGTATTTTGTGTAGTAATATTATATATTATTAAATATTTAATCCTTGATTATTATTTATTTATTACACCTCAACCCTGACTTCAACATTGACGCAGTCGGTATAAGGATTTAATTGCATTTGAAGAAATTAGGGTTAGTGCTGAATTAATAAGAGTAATTATTTTTGGCACCCTTAATCAAAGACTTGTTTATTAACGAACTTACAACTTAAACTGACTAAAAGTCTAGAAAGTCCCAGAAAAGAGAAATTTTTAAGACTTAATTAGTTATAAGCTTATTAATTTTTGGGGTTAAGGTATAAGCAATAGGTATAGGCTTATTATACGGAAAATTTTCAAACGTGGTTTGTGTTAAAAATAAATATTAGGCAAATCTACAGGCCCGTCACGTGATCAGCGTGTTATCATACCATTGACCTACTTATAATTTATTTATATATTTGCAACTTTATCAATTAGTATGTCAGGTAAGATCATACTTAAATTGTCAATTAAGGAATTAATAATATACATAAAATAAAATAAAATAAGTTATACAATTTTACCGTGCCATTAAATATTGTTTATTTTAGAAATACTATTATATTATTGTTAATATAGTTTATTATTGTTAACACTTACCACATACTACTTGATTATCCATTATTTAAAAATAATAGAATAATTTTTACAACTTTTAAATTAAAACAAAACTGCAATTAATTCACTGTGAAACTTATAAAAAATATGTGCAAATTATTATGACGTGACGCGCCGTTNTGTGTCTGACTGGATAGGAGTCTGGTATAGTTCGGGCGTTCAGCGCGCGGTAATCACCGCAAGGACGCCAGCTGTTCTCTCCTTTTGGTGCTAAATGTAATGGTGAAGACCACGGACTGCTTGAAGGTCTAGCGGTACCTGCCTTGACCATTTCCGCGAATTCCTGTTTGGCGATTTTTAGTCTACCTGGAGCTAAGCGGCGTGGGCGGCAGGCTATTGGCTGACCAGGTTTCGTAAGAATGTGTGTCCTGGGCAATCCGGTGGGACGTGTGATAACTCTGATTAATTAAAGTTTTTAATTAAGCAGGAAAAAATGATTGAAGAAATAATAAAAATCCTAGAAAAAAAACAAAAAAATACAGTGTTATGATATTTAAATAGCACCCAACCATTACTATATCAATTTTTGGCCTTGAATTTTTGTACATGACCTTATAAGGATATAATAAAAAAAAATTTTTATTAGTTGATTTAAAAATGGTACTTTTGGCCGGCTAAATCAGCGTTTGGTCCCACTGTTCCTCGGAGCGAAAATGTTCCTAAAAGGAGTACCAGTCAGAAAGAGGAGCTAACAATGACAGACTGAACAATGCACTGGAAAAATGCGTAAGACGATATTACTGATAGGAATTTCTTACAGGACATATACACGACCTTATGTTCGTACCTTGACGAATACATGGCCAAAATTGAGGAATTAGAGAACATGGTGTCTCTCCAGCGCGACCATATTGCCCAGTTGGAAACAAAAGTGGATACATTGACGTCACAAGTCAACTTGCCCACCAAAAGTATTGAAGGGGTACCTGGCAGTATCAACAGGAGATCAATACCGCTACACCACGTGCTTAGGTGAATTATAGCGACAGAATCAAAACACCACAAGTCTGATTGGAAGGGGGTGAGCAGATGACCGCCCCGGAAAGTTTCGACCGAACGGTCAAATAAAACCCTCTATCCCACCACCGGAGCTTTGAGGAGATGACGAGTTCAGTTACCGAATAACAACAAAATAACAGCAATGAAAAACAATTTTTCATACATATATTAGATTATAAAGGCAATAGTTGCCGATAAAGTAATAAACACAAACACTTAAAATTAACTATTTACAATAATTAATGACAAACACGTGGGAAGGGAAGACTGTACAATGAGAGACGTGAGAGAATCCCTTCAAGATGTAGATAACGGGCAGAGCTTAAGAGGACGCCATACGGCCAAACGAAACAACGATATGACCGAGAGAATGCGCTTTTAGATGTTTTACAACCGAACTCTTCAATCACCCCCTGTCCCTCATTCCATATAGCACCCGCACACCTGTACGGCCGTCTAATATTATTTTGGAGCAACACATCATTCTACTATTGACTGTTACGCTATGCATTACATATTATTTTCATTGATAAAGCTCTCATAATATAAAACAAAATGAATATGTAATTGTAATAAAATATCATAGGATTATAATATGATAATGATGTATTTATTTATTTTTTTTTGTGTTTGTCACTACTTTTTCTCAGCTCTCCAATCACAAATCTCCAAAAAAATTACAATTTTAAAAATCGGTAAATTTTGTCATTCTTTTCACTTCTAGCTTCGAAGCTGAGAAGGTATTAATTTTACCATAATGTGTTTATTATTTATTTTTTTTTTTTTTTGTGTCTGTCACTACTTTTTCTCAGCTCTCACTGGACCGATTTCTTTTATCAATACGTCAAAAGATCACAAATCGTATGTAGTTGCAGACATTATCCTTAAAAATTGAAAAATTTTCCCTCGTTCCCCGCAAATGGGGGAAATATCCAAAAAAATTACAAATTTAAAAATCGGTAAATTTTGTCTTTTTTTTCTTAAAACTTCCATAACTTTTTCAAAAATAAACAAATCAACATAATTTTTTTTTATACTAAAACCTTAGATATTTCCTTTTCATTTGATATCATTTTTTTGAAAATTTAACACTTAACCTGCTCACTGGGGGGGATTTAAAATTGCAACTTTTTTACAAAAACTAACTTTTTCAAATTAATTTTTGAAAATGTTCCGAAAATACTGCGTCCTTTAAACATATACCAAATTAAAGCTTATTTTATTACTGTAAAATGAAAAAAAAAATTTGACCCGACACTTTATCTTCTGCATGCAAACGGCTCCCGTAGTTAAAAAAACACTATTTTTGTGTTAAAATTTTCGATTTTAAATTTTCAACTTAAAAATGCTATAACTTTTTGAAAAATGTATATATCAGCACAAATTTTTTTTTTCTAAATACATCTAAGTACATGTTTCTTTTGACATACTTTTTATTAAAATTGGACGATTTCCCCTTATATAGGGGGCGTTCAAAACTTGAAACATTGTAATCAATGATTAAAAGTTATTAGGAAATAATGACTATTATTTCTATTTCAGTTATCTATTACGATAAAATTGCAAAAAAATCGAATTTTTCTGATAAATGTACTGTAAATAGTAGTTATAAAATTTCCTGATTGCATATTAATCTTAAAAATTTCATTTTTTTCTATTTAATAATGTCAGTTTCAAACTTGCAAGTTGAACTATAAGTTATGGTAATAAATTCATTTTTTTTTTATTAAAACTTTCACTTTAAAGGACAAAAAAAAGTAGGTTCAAAATGATTACTTTAAACATATTAAAAATCAAAATCAATAATAATATGAAGACAATTAATTTAAAAAATTATATAATGTATAATTAAAAGAATTACTAATCTGGGTATAATTAAGGAAATAGAAGTTGATGTTGCTTTTGTAATTATCCATCAATTTCTTAGAATTAAACACTATCTACAAATTTGTATCGAAGCGTTTCTTATGATTTAATTATTGATTCATATGATTCATAATATCTCCACAAATAATAAGGGCATAAAATTAGTACTTATACTGAATTACATAGAAAATCATCACTAAAATTAAACATTTTTTAATCAGCACAAATCAAAGTATACTTTGCATAACCACATTTATTGGACGATTCAGAATTAAATTTTTTCCGTCGCCTCTTTCTTTGAGATCATCATTGATTTTTAAACACGAGTATTTAAATAAAAAAACTAATTTTGACTTTAATTATGTTAAAATAATCTGTACAAAATTTCAATTCAAAATGTCATACTTAACCTATTTTTTATGAAATTTTATAACTTAAAAATATGAACTTAAAGTTTTTTATTAGTTTAACTTGCAAGTTTGAAATTGGTATCATTAAATAGTAAATTTGTTGAAAAAAAAATCGTTTTGTTTAGATTTATAAATGGTTAGGAACTAATACAATTATTGTTATACTTATACTTATCCTAAGCTTCCACTTGACACGATCTCCCACATCAGCCATCCTCATATCACATAACAAATATGTATGCAAAATATTATGTCCTCATATAAATTACAAATATATTTTGTCCATAGCTAACTGCTGTATTATTGACACGATCAAATCGCCCTTCAATAATTTTGTTCATAGAAATGTGTCAAAATAGCTATTTTGTAGTAGTAAAAAAACTTCTTATATGTTTTGTAGTTAAATTTTAGTTTTTTATTTAATTTTATGTTGGCTAAAGCTATTCAGAAAATAATATAAGTAATACACTACCTTATTAGTTTAATTACTAGTTATAATAAAACAATTTTTTTTTTTTTTTGGAAATTATGTTTGAATGTGTCACACATTGTGTATTTATAATTGAAGAGAAAATTTAAATAATCATATTTTATTTATGCAAGATTAAAAATTGTTAATGTTACCATACTCAATATTCACATTATTCAAGTCAAATCAATATTTTTGTAACCATGTAATTTTTTTTTGCAATTTATAAGAGCTAAAAATTTCTCACGACTTTTCAGATATATTAAGTAGATATGATGTAATAAGGTACGAAATAATCGTAAAATGTATAAAGTTTATGTATAATTCAGTTTTACTCATAATACAATTTCATATTAAGAAAATTTTACAAAAACTTTTTAGCTATGTAGTATTAAATATATAATATAATTATATTGTGATAATCCAATTTTTGTGTAACATATTGAATAAATTAGAAGTTAATTAATTGTTGAATAATTTGTTTGAAAATTAAGATTTACCAGTAGTAGATACAATAACTTAAAATGTAAAAATACCAAGTCCATTGTTGTTCCAATTTGTATTACATAATCAGAACTATTGAGTGTAAATTATTTAATATTACAAAATAGAATAGAAATTATTTGTCAATATCATTTAATTCAATTTGAAATATAAAAAAATTTGTGAATTGTGACTCTACTACTGGATAAATTTAATTAATTACCAAATATATTTCTTTAGTTGTTATTGATTTTCAGTGGGCATAAATATATCTTTTTTATTTGACTTATAACATCAATTTTTTCAATTTTTTTTTATAATTTTTTTTTTTAATGCGTTTAATTTTTTTCTCATAACAAATTAATATTTTTTGTTGATGTAATATCAAATTTGATGAAAATATTGTAAAATAAAATGTAAGAATGACGGTAAATAATTAAGTAAATTTTTAGCTAAATACTACAATTATTCTTTTTTCACTTGAGTCTGTTGTGCTTGATGAGCTTGAAGCACAGCAACTGCCTCTTCTACTTTACTCTTTAAAGATTCATGATGTTCCAACATGTGAAGCAAATCAGAATTATCAATCTCCAATAACATACCAGTAATTTTACCAGTCAAGTCTGGATACATGCGCTAAATTTTTTTTTTAATACAATTAAAAAAAATCATAAACACTTTAATTAATTTAATTTACCTGAATAAGTGGGAATAATCGTTCACCCAACATTTGCTTTTGATCTTCAGGCTGAGCCGTAGCCAACATAGTTGCTGTTAATGGTTCTTGTCCATGAACATGCACAGCAGCTTGCACTGGTGCTGGTGGTTGACCTGGTTGGTTTTGGCCTATACCTTGTGCTTGACCAGGTGGATTACGCATGTTAGCTGTGTACTTGTAACCAGCACCAGTTCCTCGGACTCCAGGAACACGAACTCCTCCAGCAGGAACAGCACCTGGTATTTGTTGCTGAGTTGTACTAATTGGTCTAGCATTTCGATCAACCATGGTGTTTCTAGCCATTGCTGCTTGTTGGCCAGCTGGCACTGGAGCTCGTGCACCAATGTTTCTGTATTGTGTAGCCATATTTGGATAACCTAAAATATATTGTATATTTGATAAATTAAAAACATAAAATTTATTCAAAATGAATTAAAATTTAGTATTTTACCAGCAGCTGTTGCTTGAGGGGCACCAGCCCTAACTTGAGGTTGAGCAGCCCATCTAGGTTGAGGACGAATTTGAGTCATCTGTGTTGGTCCAAAGAAACGTTGAGGTTGTGGAATTGTAGGGACGAAATAACCACTAGAGCCACCAGGCTGATATATCTAAGTAATAGAGATAATACATTTTTAATAAATATAAAATACTTTAAAATAACTGAAATATAATAAAATTGAAAATACTCACTGGACCAATAGACTGCATACGAATATTAGTATTGCGTTGTAGATATTGGGAGTCCAAATGAGCTTTGCGATCTTCCTTACGTTGAGCTAGAGCAACATACAAAGGTTTAGTTCCTACAATACGCCCATTCATGTCAGTAACTGCTTTAGTTGCTTCTTCTGGAGAAGAAAAGCAAACAAAACCAAATCCTTTGCTTCGACCATCATCCATCATAACCTAATATATATATAAAAAAAAGAGCTTGAAAAACATTTTTTGTCATTTATATAAATTATTATTACTGAAGTTTGTATACAAAAATAAAATATAAGTATTATATATTATAAAATATAAATTTAATAATAATCATATCACATGTCAAAAAAAAATCCAAGCACAATTGTAATTTATTTGTTTTTTAAAGTATTAACCAAAGGGATATTTATATCAAAAAGAATAAAAGAAACCTAAAACTTCTGTAGGTTATTTAACTCTAAAATTTTAGAGCAATTCTTACTTTGGCACTTGTAATGGTTCCAAAAACACTAAATTCTTTTCGCAAACGTTCATCATCAATTGTGTCATCCAAATTTTTCACATATAAATTAACGCCTTGATATCTATTCATTCTTTCAATTTTGTATTGTTCAAATTTACGTTTAAGTTCTTGCTGGCGTTCAGCTTTTTTTTGGGCACGTCCTACATAGTAAGTCTAACAAAATTTATTTTTCAATTATTAATTTAATAGTAATAATTTAGTAACAATTGTATTATTGTTTCAGTAAATAACCATACCTTTCCTTCAGGACTTTCTTTTCCATGCCATTCAATTACAGCTTTTTCAGCTTCTTCAGGATCTTCAAAAGCAACAAATCCAAATCCTCTAGAACTACCATCTTCTCTAAACATTACTTTATAACTAGTGATTGTACCAAATTTTTCAAACATTTTAAATAATTCTTCATCAGTAACATTTTCATCCAAATTTTTTATATACACATTTGTGTATAATTTTGCTTTTTGGCCCAATTCTTTTTCACGATCTTTTCTACCAACAAATCTTCCAACAAATACTTTTTTACCATTAAGTAACATTCCATTAACTTTCTCAATTGATTGAGTAGCAGACTGTTCCATTTCAAAATGTACAAAGCCATATCCTTTAGACTGTCCAGTTTCATCTTGAGCAACCTATGATTAATAGAAAAAAAAAAAAGTCAAATTATCCAAGTTAAATTAAATACTGAACTTTTTAAATTTGAAATTCAAGAAAAATGTTTAGGTCAAAATCATCAATTAAAAATTACTGTCAACATATTATCATTTTAATTTCTTTATAATAAAAATTTCTTTTTATCGATATTAATAACTTACTTTACAGCTTAAAATATTTCCAAAGGCAGAGAATGTATCATACATGGCTTTGTTGTCTATGCTTCTATCTAAGTTTTTTATAAATACATTGCCAACACCCGACTTTCTCAAAGAAGGGTCCCTTTGTGACCACATAATTCTCATAGGGCGTCCTTTAAGTACATCAAAATTCATGGTATCCAATGCACGCTCAGCTAAAATAGAATTTTTTTTGATTAACCAGAAGTAAAAATGAACTTAAAATACAAGTACGTAGTAATTATGATAATGATAATAACAAAAAAAAATGTAAGCAGGGTGATTGGTTAAGGATAATACACTATTTATTCAGAAACTAGTAAAAATTTTCAATTTCTGTAATGGAATATATTGTCTGATTTAAAATAATCTAAAATAATATGGTGTTAAATAATTTTTTTTCGTGCCATCAAGGATAAAAAATTTGAAATTTAATTTTCTTTAACATAATTTTTTATTTTGATAATATAATAGGAAAAGTATGTTGAAAAATAATATCATTTATATCACTTTTTAATACAATCAATCTATTGTTTAAAGATTTGGAATTCAAATAGAAATTCATTTTTAATTTTACTGGAATCAACAATAATCTGTTTCAATGTTCAATAAGTTACTCTTTGTATTTAATGTGACTGTCATAAATACAGATATGATAACAAGAAATGTCAATAAACTTGTTTATGTGACAGCATGAAGAAACAATGATTACTGTATGCTAAACAAAAAATGGGTCAAAAATGTCTAAACTTTGAAGAGCGATAACAAAAATGATTCATCAAATAAAAAATATTATAAAAACAAAAATTAAAATAAAAAAATATATTTAAAATGTTAATACTAAAAAATATAAAATATATTTATTTTGGGTACAATGTTACCACCATCATTTACAGTTCCTAATTGTTTTTAAAAGTTTATGAAAATGATAAGTGTAAAAAGTAAGACTAATATTATAATTTTAACATACTTTACAATTCCTCAGATGAATAAAATTGTATTTCTAAAAAAAAAAAAAACCTAATATTTTTTATGTTTGAACTAAAATTACTTACAATTGTTTAACCAACCCTACCAATAAATAAAAATGTCATAATTTCTATGATATAAACTTTATAAAGATAGAGTAATATAAATTTTACATTACTTTTTGTAAGATAGTGATGTTATATTACTTTATTTATCAAATAAAAATATATATACCGCAGAAAAATGTTTTTGTTCTAGATTAAAACTTCAACTTAAGAAGATATAATTAATACACTAACAGTCAGTTTCATACTAAAAAACAATATCCTAAAATATATGAATTGTAAAACTATTTATTCTCTCTCTTTTAAGCACAGTTGATATTTAATAATTTGCATAAAAAATTATATTTAATCATCAATTTATTATTTGAATAGAAAAATAAATTCTACTTCCTCAAAGTCTAGTCAAAATTTTAAAGCTATCTATATTGTCAGATAAATTTTATCAGCAAATATGCTCAGACATATGCTTGTCAATTTAAATCATCACTCAATGAAGGACTAAATATATATCTTATTGTTAAGGTAATTGTAATAGTCAGACTAATTTTATCAGCAAGTATAATCAGGCATATGCTTGTCAATTTAATTCATCATTCATTAAAAGAAAAAATCATTTGCTATCATTTTACAGTTATAATAAGTCTATGGTAATAAATGTATTATTTAGATAAAAGAAACAAATTCTAGTTTCTCAAAGTCTAGTCAAAATTTTAAAGTTATTAATATTTTCAGATTTATTTAATCAGCAATATACTCAGTCATATGCTTGTCAATTTAAATCATCATTCAATGAAAAACTAAATATAGAAAATGTTATTGTTAAGGTAATAGTAAAAGTCAGATTAAATTCATCAGCAAGTATAATCAGGCATATGCTTGTCAATTTAATTCATCACTTACTAAAAGGAAAAATCATTTATTATCATTTTATAGTTATAATAAGTCACTCAATGAAGGACTAAATATAGAAAAATTAACTGGTCGATAATAACTTTTGGACAAGTTCTTTGAAAGTTATTTACATTTTTATAACTATGCAGGAGGAGTACAACCAACAAATATTGTCTATCACCACCTCAACACCAGTCTATATTTTTACAATACATATAACTTTCAAAATAATGGATAACAAATTATATTTTACCAGTCATTTTTAAAATTATTTTCTATTGTATGAACTAATGCAATATGCATGTTGAAGGAAAAATTAAGTTGATATCTTTACGAGTTGTAAGGAATGATGTTAAAAAATAATTAATGAAACTGATAAATTAAGAAATATATATAGATATATAACTAATACCAAAATTAATTTACAGAACATAATTACTATATCAAGATAAATCGTGTGGCTAACGTTAAAGTAATAACTATGTAATACCAAATAGTAACCACGCGATTAATTTTAATAAAGCTTAAAAAGCCTTTAGGTATTTTATCACACAAAAATTAAATAAAATAGAATAAATATTATGATGAACATTAATTTAAAAGTATACGAGTCAAATGACACATATTTATCAAAACATACTAATTCGTCAACAAGTTACTGATCCAGAAGTCTATTTACATAACTGTTTAAAACGTACACGTGGCATATATGTGATTTCAAGATGACGGGTAATTAGAAAAATAATTTCAAGTTAAGAATAACCAAAGAGTCCTTTGTATTGACAAATAATTTGTGTATGATGTTTTCATCAAATTTGCTTAATGTTAATAATCTTTTTATCTTACCATCCGCCATGTTTTGGAAGTTGACATAGGCGTATCCCAACGATCTGCGAGTAATCATATCTCTGCATACTCTAATTGACAAAACCGCACCAACAGTGCTAAACTTTTCGAATAACATAGCTTCAGTCACATCAGAATGAAGATCACCAACATATAACGACGCCATTTCAGTGAGAAGTGAACTTTTATAAAATATTCGAATACTTAGACAGCGTTATTGTAATATTTTTTTTTTATATTTTAAAAGTTTTCCTTTTTTTTTTTTATTTAATTAAATTTTATATTTTTTTTTTGGTTTTTTAAATTAGAATTAAAAAACTACACTATGAATCATGGGTTGTGTTTCGTAAATGTACGACACAACCACATGTGAGCAAAAGAAAACGTACAGAAAAAAAAGAAACGCACTAAGTCCAAAATGGACGTCAGAGATGAATGGTAGATAGCTAGCTTAGTCATTTCTCCCCCTTCCTTTACACCATCTGCGTATATTCAATATACATCTGTTAACATGTTTAGTTGTCATATACCACGGTTAAGACTATCAATTGATAAAAAAAATTATATCATGAACCACATAGAATGATGATATTAAAAGCAATTATTAGCAGATAAATTAAGAGATTTGTGTAATAAAAAAACAAAATCCTATGTAGCTCGGATTAAGGCGAGGAAGAAGATGTAATAAAAAAAAAGAAAAATTTTTTTTTTTAATATTGTGTTTATTTTGAAAGTAATCAAGTGGTTTTTGATAAACCGATCACTGTATAATATGTCTATATCAAGTGATTTTGAATTTATAGAATGTTGAGCAGCAATTGCTGTGTTGTTAAAAAAACAATAACCACAATACTCTTACTTCATAGCATGGAAAAAAGGTCATCAAAACAATATTTAACCTTCTCATCGGCCATTATAACTTTAACACTTTCAAGGTTTAAATAAAAAGTGCGCCTATAACACATTGTTTCCATATTTTCTAAAAGAGCGTTTCGGAGTCTTAAAATTACTATAACTATTGTTGTATAAACGCTCTTTCAGTATTTCATTATTCATAATGTTTCAACGTTCGTTCATTGTTATATGTCAAATCCTGAAAATATTTACATTCATAAGAAGAAATCAAATGGCCGACATTTATGACAACACCTCAAAGGTGCGTATCGATTATGTGCGGCAGCATGTTAATCTAAAGTAAACTGTTCATTTGCCGCGCGAGCCACTTTAAGTATCAACAATTTTCGGGATCAATTTTTATTTGTGGCGCGGCAAGTAATGCAGCTCACCTAGAGTAGTCCTGTTGTCCCAATTGCTGGCGAATAATTGACTGAAGCGTCTTTGCCACGTGCCTAAAAACCGAAAAAATTTGCATTGCTGCGCTGCAACACAACAACCATTTAGCGCGGCTACCGCGCGAGGCAATGTTCGAGGGTTTATAGTGTTCAATAGATACGCGACAATCCTTTATTAAATAAAAAATATCACATTTTCGTTTTATTCATATATAGTGTTCAGTTAGTAAGTAAACGGATTTCTATTGTTCTCATTGTTTGTACAATTGACCCGTGTCCTTACTTACTGAACATTTTGTATATTTTTACCGACAAAAACAGTGTATACTAAGCGTAAAAGAGCATGTACCGCTTAGTTGTACAATTACAAATTTCACCCTGCAACAGGTAGTATAGGATTGCTGTCCCGTATTGTGAATAGTGCAAAATACTAATGGATTTCGCGTTATTTAACAGATGTTTTTAATCCAAGCAAACATTTCCTCTGTACACTTTTCTTGTTAAAATATTAAATATGTGTCAAATAAATGTAAAACAAACTGTTGAGCTATACAAAGTCGGTTTAGTAAGTTATTATGCAAGTTAATTGTTATAAACAATGAGAACAATAGAAACACGTTTCTCTACTTACTGAACATTCCGTGTATTTACTTAATAAAAGATGTAAGATAAATAAGTAAATATTATTTATTTAAATTTCATTAAATTATAATAGAATTTTATTATTCACGAGTTTATTAAAGAGTTGATTATAAATTGATGACAGCATTTTTGGCATTACAAATATTTTTACGGTATTTTGAATTACTGGTAGTTTTAAGTATTAGTAAATCGATTTTTATTTATGGTATTTATCGGGTTTTCGTATTCATTTAGAATGCATGAAATAATTTTTGGATATTTTAATCTTTTCTCTATTAATTGAATTAAAATTAGATAACTTAATTTAAGTCACACCTTGGTAATTTATCTATCTTTTTATTTTTTATTTGGAATCGTACAATCTGTAACAAATTTAGTTACAATTAGCACAAATAAAATAACCTAATCACAGAAGGCGCCTAAAGGGATCATAGTGTCCACGATTTCATACGTCATGAAACACTAGCACTGGTTGGCCTTTTTTATTAAGCCTACTGTCTTTATATATTATTTTATATATTTGCTTAACATAAAAATCATTTGTCATATCTTAGCAAAAAAACTTGTAATGCAAAAAGGATAATAGCTAATTATTACCATAAGATATAAAATAATCAAAAAAGAGTTTATGAAACAGTTAACTGCTAGAAAATAACTTTACCGCATACAAAAATTTTATCTGTATTCCGACTAATACTGAATTCAAGTAAATATTGAAAAGCAGGGAGTTTAATTTGATCTAACACTCCAATAAATATAAAGTATTATTCTATTGCCGTTTAACATGTAGGGGGATTATCTATTATTTTTAATTTTAATAATATAGTAAAATTATCAAATAAAATATCTTAATTGTGAAAAAAATGTTTTCCATAATTTTAAGTGAATAATGCGTTTCAAAACTTAATTTAATGAAACATTATTTATCAACACATATAGACATTAACGCGACTTTTTAATTACCACTAATAATTGCAGAATAGATATGATATTTTCATTATTATCATTATGATTTCATATTTTGTTAAAACAAATATAATTTGGATTTAATATATGTTGGAGCTAATACATTGTATAACTAGATCCAATATAAATGTTTAATTTTTTACTGTTACTATTTTGTACAAATTAATATTTGTCTAAAACTATTTTATTTCAAGCATTTTTCTTTCAAATTTATTAAATTTCATTCATCATTTTTTCCATGATCTATTTATTCCAAGTCTTATTTGATGCATTTAACTTTTGTTCTACAAAATTGTTGGAACAAATGTTAAATGTAATAAGAAATTTGTAGTACAAAAGTTACCTACGGATATTGAATTTATTTTATGTGATGACACAATTGATCTACTCAAAACAGTGGAACGGTGGTTTCAACCGTTTGTTATAAATATCTGTGGGTTTAAAGATACTAATTATGATACTAATCTAATAAGCCTTATGAGTAGTGGAATACAATCTATACCACAGAATCATAGATAATATTTCTTCATTATCTTTGCACATATTAGATAAGACTTATCTATATTATGCTTATACTTTCTGTATAAATGTATTCAATTGTTTAAAGAAAGTGATAATATTATGGTATTGGACGAAGAATTATTCAGACTATGTTTATATTAAATATTTGAACAATACTCATCAACCAAGTTAAGAAGTTACTATCTTTTGCAGTTTTTCATTGAATAAATTCTATACTTACGTAGCTATGATTGCTATATATTATTTCCTGGCCGTATTACGACTATTTTCTTCTGTTTTTGTTCAATCTGGTTATGTACATCCTGATGAATTTTTTCAAACTACTGAAATTTTAACTGGTGAGATATCAATAGAGGCATCAAACATGTAAACATTAGGAAATGTTTTGTCTTAGTATCACAATTTATTTTTGTGTATAAATTCAGAATTTATGTTTTTATAAAATTTGTTTGTTGCTTTTGAACAATTAGTGTCTTTTGTATTACAAATATTATAAAATACGAATTAAAACTTTTGTTTTAGTGAAAACAAATAATATTCAATTGAGAACTTTAAGAGTTATCAGAATTTTAAAAGATTTAAATTTGAACTAAGAAGAAAGCTTGACATATTTTAGATTTCCGTATAAAGATTTGAATTAGATGAAATATTTATTAGTTAATCATTTCTGTTTAGGCTTCTAAAATTTTTTCCCAAGAAAATTAATTTTTTTCTAATAATCTCTAAGTATACTCTAGAATAGTATATTATTAAGAAAAGAGTAAAAGCCCTCATCAAAATTCTTAAATTTATAGTAAGTTACTTGATCCTCTATTATATATTCTTGCTTACATAAAATAAACAAGATAATTTGTGGTACTTATTGCTACAAAATTTAAAGTCTTGATATTTGTATAATATAAAAGTAGTGTTTGAGAGGGTTCAGCTTCCTGAAATGACAACCTAGTTACTTATTAAAAAATATATTTTTTAGATAGTTTTTGAGCAAAAAAAAAATTATTAAAAATAATTACTTTAGTCACCCTCTCCCGCCTAAAATTAAAATTCTGGCAAAATCACTGTGTACAAGTAATAGTATGCTAAGACAAAGTGTTCTTGATCAAATTAAACAATTTAATCGCTATTTAATAGTCAGTTACTGAATTTTAAACTCCAAAAAAAATCTACTTAATAATCAACAAGCTATTAATAAAAAAAAAAGAAAAAGAAATCTAATTTCATTAGTGTAGCCAAGTATCTTCCACTCAAAAATGTAACAAATAAACTTCTATCTAAGAAAAAATATTTTTGATTTCATATTGTACCAGAATGAACTTACAATTATAAACTTCTTCTCGATTTCAAGTTACTTAGTGTTGTTTATTTAATTGGAAAACAATAATTAGTTACAGATTATTAAATGTAAAATATATCTGATGATTATAAGGATAGTATCTTTAAAGCTACTTAAATATATATTTTTTGTAAAGAAGCACTGAATACTTAAACTTTTTGTTAATTAAAGTTTTTAAATAAAAATGAAGAATTAAGTGTAGTAATAAACAAAAAAAATCATTTACAGAATTTTCATGTAAACAATAAAATAGTGTTATCTAAATTATTAATAATATTTGACCCTATATGTTAAATAGCCCTATTAAGAGAAAATTAATTAATTTAATAGGAGAAAGATATATATATAGTACTGGCAAGAAACTCCAAGTTTTTTCTCCTACAAATAAAAAACATTGAAATATGGAAATGTTACATAAATTTAATTTTATGAGTTTTCACTATGAATACAAAAGAGCCATATCTTAAAAAAAGCATTTTGAGATAAACGACTTCAAAGATTTGATTTTCTGCAATAATTATATTGTTTCTTACCCTGTTTTTAGCATTATTATCATGTCAAATTTTTAAAAAATAGTTTGCACAATCTATTTGGAGCATATTTCTATTGGAAATTATTTCTTTTTATACTATTGATAATTTATTAAAATAAAAGATTATCTTTTTTATTTTAGAATTAGTGTTTACACCTTTCAAGCACCTAACTTTTGCAAATTGAATTTTTCATTATTTACAGCACGTAAATTTTTAAAATTAATCAAGTAAAAACACTATGGTTAATTGGTATTTTTCATAAAATATAATTTTTCAATGACACTATTTAATAACTGCCTTGTACGTAAAACCAAAATAAAATATCCAATGCCCTTTGTAGTCAAACTTTTATCTGTAGTTAATATGAAAAATAATAAATAAATAATAATTGAAATAAAATATTTCATTTCTTAAACATAATAAAAAATATACTTTTTACCTTAAATAATTTTGAAACTTCTAGAAAAAATTTTTTATGAAGGTTATATTAGACTGGTGCTGCTGATCAGTCATTAAAGTGTTTGAGGGTTCCATGGACAAAAAATCATATTAGCAAAGGATTTGGTTAGTTGGGTAGTGGAGGTGTGAAGCTCTATTAATACTACTTTATTTTTTAAGTCATCTAGAACCCCTAATACAAAATTTCTGAATATACCACTATGGCTGGTATGAACATTTGCAATAAGTAATTGGTTACACAGTTTCACTTACAATTGTTTTTTGATAGCTTTTTGTAGAATACAGTTATCAAGAAAACTTATCTGTTTGCTGGTTAAAGTACTACATGGTTTACTAATCATTGATGCCTTCTACAAAAATTTTATTAATACCAAATTTTACAATCAAGTTAAGCTGATCAATGATCAATAGTAGCATCTTCCTCAACTTATTACTGATAATAGTTTAATGTGACTTGTGCTTCAAAAGTGACACCCTCTGGAAAGTATCTATTTATTATGATACATATTTCTTAACTTATAACAATTTCTCCAGTCTTTTAGTTACCTTTATGATTCAACTAATATAAACTTATAGTGATGTAACCTAAATTTTATGTAACTTACGTTTTAATGATCATTATTAAAATGGTAAATAAAAAAATTAATTGAAATTAAAATTTTTGAAATATTTTTAGGTGATTTATTTGATGTTGTTCACAATCGTCCATGGGAATTTAATAAGGGCAATCCTATTAGAAGTATAAGTTCTTTGTATGCAATTTTTGGAGTTCCTTTATGTATTTTTAAATGGCTTTTTAAATGTTATGATATTCAATGGACTTCATTTATTTTACTATGTATTTTTCGATTTATTGCTTGTTTAATATCATTTTTTAATGATTATTCCATGTATAAGTAAGTTGAAAAATATTTGATATTACATTTTAATTGTAATAAATTATAAATTTATTAAGTAATTAGGATAAAAAACATTTACTGTATTAATTACATTAGATTGTATACAATTATATATTGTATATTATTATCTATGCCTTTTCAACATGTTGGGATGTTATAGGCTCAAAAAGTGTTAGAAATTTAATGATGCTTATGTTCTGTGCTTAATATCAAGCTTCTAAAATAATTTAATGTAATGATATTTCCCTATTGTTATCATTGATTTTCATAATAAAACTACGCTTCAACAAAATGTAAAGAAACAAAAATATATTTATAAAATGAATTTTTGGAAAAGCCAAGAAATCAGGGCAATCTTTTTTTTTTGTATCTATATTATTCCAAAATAGACACTATTATTTATGATTGTTGTAATAAGTCCTTGCTAATTATTTATCTTGAGGCATATCTATAGTTAATTATTATAAATAAACTGTGTTTAACTTACCTAAATAATGTGCTTAAAAAAAGTTTTAGCAAAACTTATTCGTACAAAATATCTATGAATATAGTTTTTAGTCTATCCTTAGTACGCCCTTATATTATAACGTCAATAGTTGAAATTTGTAATTTTTTTTAGGATATGCAAGATATGTAAATTAAAACCTGATAAATACCTTATACTGCTTTCAAGCTCTTATGTGTTAATTGTGTATGGAACAAGAACTTTTACAAATTCAATTGAATTAGCCTTGTTGTCACTTCTTTTATGGTTAGTCATTGATAGCATGAAGATTTCAGAAAAAGTAATACATTTAGCTTGAAAAAAAAAGTATCCTATTCTTGATAGCTTCAAAAAAATTTTTTTCTTGCTAAGATTATATAAGTTATAATATATAAAATTATAAGTTATTTTTGATAAGCAAAAAAATTGTAAATTTAAACTCCCTAAATATTTTTTAGTATTGATACAACTTTTTGGCATGTATAACATTATTAATTTTAAGTCTTCATATAGTATAAACTTTTTATCCATTTCAATATATCTTTTTTTTATAGGTCATTGCTGCTGAGTATGATATACGGAAATTACATATTAATAGTTCATTAATTCAAGATAGAGTTATAATGAGTAGAAAATTAAAAAAATTACCTCATCACTCTTTTATCCATTGTTTAGAAATTAGTTTTATTTTAGTTTTTGGGACTTTTAATCGACCTACTTTTTTGATATTTGCTATTACACCAATTTTTTTTTGGTTAACAAGAGGACTTTCCAAGGATTTGAAATATTTTATTATGACATTTAATTTAAGATTTCTTGTATTAATTATTTGTGCTGCTCCAATAACTTTTATCATAATTGTGATAGATTCCTTCTATTTTGGACATGTTTCTCAAAATTATATAAATTTCATTATTACACCTCTCAATTTTATAAAATATAATATGAATTCTTCTAATTTGGCTGAGCATGGTATACATTTTAGATTGACTCATTGCATTATTAATATGCCATTACTCTTCAATGTGATGACTGCATTACTTATACGAAATTTAAGTTTGAATTCTGTTATAAAAAAGTAAGTAAATTTAAATCATTATTTGAGTAATATTATAAATCTGAAAAATTTTATTTTGGAAAACTTAAAGAAAATGTTTTTACTTATGGTAAACAAAGTTGGGTTACGTGTGATTACCCAAACCAATTATGTTGCTGTGTTCAATATAATATTTAATGATATAATGATATAGCTGGTTTGAAATATTTACTGGTCAAGAGATCAGTTGTTATACTAATGCTACAGTTATTTTGTCTATTAGCAAATTCAATATTCATTTTACAATATAAATACTAAAAAATTATAGCTATGAACTTTAGAAGATCTTATTAGAAATAGAAACAATAATAATGAATAGATGATACATTTTATTAATTTAGACATAATTTTCTTGATACGCCAAATAGTGCTACTAACCATAAAGGAAATGTATCTAGAAATTCATGTCTTTCATTTTTCTGATATACTTTATTCCTCAAATAAGTGCTTTGTATAGTTTTATAGTTATTTATTATTAAATTAAAATTGTTTTTCAGCCTTGTAAAACGCCAGTATCATTTATTACCAAGTATTTATCAAGTCAATACTCTTATGGTTATAAATATAATTATTCCTATAATTTTATTATCTGTGTTTCCACACCAAGAACCTCGATTTCTCATACCTATTCTGTTACCAGTTGTTTTTACTGCATCAAAATTTTTTTGTATTTCAAACATAAAGTACTTGAAACCATTGTTTGGGACATGGTGTATAGCCAATGCTATTGGGTTATTATTTTATGGGCATTTACACCAAGCAGGTGTTACACCAATGATTTCACAGTTGGCATTAGACATAAGAAATTCTTCAAATGTCCATATTATTCATGGTTATACATACTCTATTCCGCTTGGATTATTTTTGGTTCCTCAACAGCAAAATAAGCTATATAAGTAAGCATTTAGTTAATATACTATAATAAACAAATAATTTAAATTAGATTTATTTATCCACTTAAATAAATCTATTGATTATATTTTTTCATCATTAAGGAATAATAGTTCTATTTATAGGAAAATTTATTTTAAATTAATTTTCATCTATCTGATGATTGGAGGGATAAAGGGAGATTAGCTCCTCAAAAATTAAGAAAATTATGCATATTGTTATATAAAAGTATTTTCTAGGACATAGGAAAATATAAATATAGTACCTTCTAAAATGTCATTTCAGTTACACTTATGTAGAAGGGTATAGTAAAAAGATTTCTAAATTCTGAATTCTAACTAGTGTTTATATTCATTTATTTGTCAGCTTTAACAATATTAACATGGTATGAAGGTCTTACCCTTTTAAATGCCATACTTTAAATTCACCATGAACTATTAATATATTTATTCATGTGGGAGGAATAGAGTGGCAGAGAAATTTATATATTATTGGTGGATAAAAACTTTTGACTAACTATTTTGCGGGTTGTTATCTTTTTAAATATAGACTAGAAGTGTGAGCGGGTATGAAAATATTTATCTTTTTTATTTCTTATTTTATAAGCTAGTTAAATATGTATGATATTAAAAAAATTATATGTATGCCCTTATAAGTTATAAGGGATGAATTAAAAAATTACTTAATATTTAATAAATCAAAAAATATATAAAACTAAAATATACCAAAAATTATTTCCTAATATAATATTATTATAAGAGAAATCAAGTAACTAATATTAAAATAATCACCCTATATTGTTTTTATTCATTTAACAATTTTACATTTCTGTATTTTGCGTAATATTTTATTATATTTATTTTATTTAACTATTTTTTATTAAAAAAAAAAATGATGTAATAACTTTGAAAAATGTATGTAAAAATGTACCATGGTTGGTAAAAAAGTGATATATGTATTTCCTTTAAAATGGAGTTCTGATTTGAAGTAAACTTGCTCATTTGTAATCATTCTTAGTTTTAATGACTAGTATTTTCAATTATAGAAAAAAATTTGTTTGACTTTTTTTTACTTTAACCAAAAATTAAATTTTATTTTTAGATTGAGATTTTAATTATTGTAAATTGTAATTTCAGAAGTCAAAATCAAATAAGACTTCATGACCTTGGTTCTTCTTTGGACATAACTAAAATTACTGATTCTATGTTATATATTAAGGAAAACATCACATATGGAAAAACTCATAAGCCAGACCTTTATTTAGTATTATCTGGATCACTTTCTAAAAAGTTTGAATATGTGTGTCATACTTTAGACTTAAAATTTACAAAAGTGTTATTTTTTCCACATTTGTCAATTGAATCATTAAGTTATTACAAAACATTCATAACAGACCTTACTGTACATGATGATAGGGAGTTCATCAATCGTGCTCAAGACCTTTATGAGTTATTTTCTTTAGTGCTTTTTAAAATTACCTAAATTCTATATAATTATTTGTTTAAAGTGTCTGTCTATCACAATTTTATTTTATTTATATTAAGAGTAAAATTGTATCATTCAATTTATTGATTATCATGTTAAAATATATTTTTAAGGTATTAGGAATATATATACAAATACTATGATACTTTTAGATCCGACATTTGATTGTTTGTTAAAATGACTTGATATCAATTTTTTATTGATAAGTCTCCCAACGATAGACTGAAAACAATTTTTTTTAAAAATCTCTTTCTCCTTATGTATATATTTTAATTTTAACTTTTAAGTTATTTTTAATTAAAATTAAAATTATTTTCGATTTTAAGTGTTTATTTAGTTTTAGCGCTTATTTAATTTAGCTTTTATTGGTGTTGGAAAGATTGTCCAACTTTAAAGCTACAGTTGTAAATTAAATAAAAAATATGGGCTCATAATATTTATTAAGGGCCTAAAAAAATTATAAAATGGTTATTTTGTAAAAATACTTACCAGATATATTTTAAAAAATTTAACTAAACTTAGATTTTTTAACTTACATTATTTTGAAATTTTTTAGTATTATGTTTTTAATGTACATATACTACTAATTTTTAATTAAAATATATTTAAATATTTTTTTCTGAAAGATTAAAATATTAATTAAAAAAAATATTTCTCAATTAATTAGTTCAAAATGTTGAGAAAAGAACAGCCATTAGTAGTGTTAAGTGTGGTCATAAAGAATGACTTCATCATAAATCCAACCCTAATTTGTTTTTCTTTATTCATAATATATTAAGAATAATACATTTTTAATATAAAATATTTTTTTTTAACTAAAAATATTAATAGACTTATATTAAATCACCAGTAAAATTCCTAGTTAAAACTTACATTACAAATTTAATTAATTATTTTAGAAATCCATTCTAGTCAAAAATATAAAAATAATTTAATATGATTGTAAATTTCTTTATATCAGTAGCTTATTAAGTGTAAAGTTATACAGTAAGTTAAACGCAAGTCTTGTGTTTAACTCTTTTAGACTTTAGAGCTATATAATTTGTCAGTTTGTATAAAAATTTAACATGATTATTATGTCGAATTTCTTTTTGTATTTCTTTAATTGTTTAGTAATATAAATATAAAAAAATATACAAATACAAATACAAATATTTTTAANTGTTTAGTAATATAAATATAAAAAAATATACAAATACAAATACAAATATTTTTAATATCATAACTAAGGAAATTAAAAGAATTATTTTTTTTTTTTAGTTTAATTTTTCTATCCTATTGTTAGGATTGTTGATGACAATATGTAAAAAAATGTATTTTCAATTCATTATGTAGGAAAGAAATGATTATGTATTCTAAAAAATTTAATTTTGGGATATGATGGGTTTTAGAAAATCATTTTAATTTAGAGTTCTTGCAAAAGTTACTAACTTGTAATTTTTTTTATAATTAAGTAAAAAATTTTAATATTTAGTGTAAATTAAAAAAAATATTAGATTTTTTCATTTCCAGGAATAGTAAAATTTTCTCTTCCATCCTATCTGTTAGCTATTCTAACAGTGTATACAAGAAGGGCTTACAAAGCTATAACCCTCTCTCATATTGGTCGTATACATAATATTTTTGTTTAAAATTTGACGACTTTTTCAGTAACAAACCTTGATGATTATGTGCAAAAAAAAAAGGTTCTTAGTCCTTTTTTTTTCTCCTTTTTGTATACTCTGCTGGTCATATTAGTTGGTTTTAAAAAAATTTGACAGATTTATGTCGTTTTATATAAAATAGATCAAAATAAATTTATTTTCAAATTGTATCCTTGTTATTTAATAAAATGAAATACCAAACTAAAAGGAATTTTTTTACGTTTGGGTTCAAGTGCATGAATTTTGTATAATTTTGTTCGATGCGAACCGGAGAAGGTATTAATTTTACTATGATGTGTTTTTTTTTTTTTTTTTTTTTTTTTTTTTT